AGGGAGCCCGATGCGGGACTCGATCCTGGGACTCCAGGATCATGACCTGAGCCGAAGGCAGTTGCTTAACCAACTGAGCCACCCAGGCGCCCAGTAAAGCCCTTTTTAAGGCAACCCTTTCAGGTCCCCTCCCTCTTTAGGAACTTTGTACTATCACTCATAAACTTTGCTTTAGTATCACTCAATAAACCTTGCTTTGCTGCCCACCAAAAAATAGACAAATAAAGCCCCTTTTAAGGGAGAAAAAGAAAAAGTTGACCAATTTACACATAAATGGATAAAAGCAGAGCTTGAGAACCTTCAAAATATTGTTCCTAACCAGAAGAACAGAATTTGGCAGAATTTTTAAGATTTGTAGTCCAAATATCTAAGAAAAACTTCATGTGATTTCAAGACAAAGTATTTCCAAAACTGTCTTCATTGAGATTCTGTAATGGTTAAATAGTTAAAACTTCACAGTCCAAATCTGATAAGGTTTCATTATCATTCTACTTAATGTATTCACATCAGAGTCGAAGGTTTCACAAGTACCTTTTAATGAGCTCGCTTATTTTGTCTGATATGCTTTTGTATCATGTCAATACCTCCATTTAAGTGTGCTAATATTTCATTTATTTAAGGAGGACTAAAAAGTACAATCAAATATGATCTTACCATTTTTAAAATGCACCATACTGGCCTACACCATAAATAGTTAATACTTTTAACTTAAATGGTAAAGTGACAAGTCAGAATATACCAAATGCTGGGAAAAGGCTAGGAGTATTAAAATAATATTTAAAGAGTTTGGGATGAAATGTTCAATTATATTCTCAGTGGCACTGTTCTCAAGAGCTTTTGATGCAAATAAAATATTTTAGGTTTAACCTTTCCAAAGGATCCTATTAACTCCTTTTTTCTCAATAAAGGCCCTCAGGTCAAATTGAATATGAAAAATATAATTGTATATCAGTTACTAGATATAATCCCCTATGAGAAATCTCCCTATACCATACATCTAAGTTCAAAACCTTTTATAAACCAAGAATGTCGTTCTTAAAAAGAAATAAAAAAGTAAAGAAAGGAAGAAAAAAAATTTTAAGTAATTTAGCAATACCTTTTGGACTTACATTGGTGATGATTCGATGGAGTGAATTTACCAGCACATAGTGAAATGTAGAAGGGGAATTCTGAGCCAGGCAGATCTACACAGGCAAAGGAAAAAACTGTATATTATTTCTGTGAGAAAAATATTCAACACAAATGAGGATAAAGAGAAACAGGAAAAAAAAAAGTTTTTAAAAAACAGAATAAATTCTTAAGGTCTTAAAATTAACATTAATATATAATATTGAGAAATACCAATTGACCTTTCTAGTCTTTTTATATTTATAAAGAAAGATCAACAGCATCAGTAAACATAACTGGATAAAAACCAATGCTCTCACCTTAAAGTGTTGGTTGTTGTGAGGGCTTATACGAAAGCAAGAAACAAGGCAGTCAATCATTAGATCCACATCTGCAGGCTGACTGCCTCTTGAGAATGGTTTACTTGGATTAAAAAGTAGGTTCTATGAAAATCCCAAAAGAAAACAAAAGCCTTTAAACAATCATGTAGTTATTTTTTTTACTAGTATTTAAGAATATCAACACAATATCCACATACATGGAAATAACATTCAGTTGCCAGAAGAAGCACAAAGCACTAATGTGGTTCATCACTCTGATAAAATTCTTACTATACCAGATATGGTTCTTTTTAGGCCCTAAATTCTACATTATTTTAAAACCAAGTCTGAATATTTATGATAACTTAAGAAAACCAGTTAATTCTGTGTTTTCATCATATTCTAAGCCAATTTAGTCTGAGTAACACAAACAACAAAAGCAGGTCTTATGTACTTACCATCTAAGATGATTCAGACCTTTAGCATTAGCAATGATCTTTGACAATGATCTAGCATAATACTTTACTAGAATTTTATTTTTCCTTTAGTTTTCTTAAAGTTTGTAGTAAAGAAATAACAAGCATATTACCTTAAGATCTACCACCATGGACTGAACTAGTAGGAAAATGACAGAGTTATCTTCCCAGTTGATATAAGTACTTGCTTTACACAGTTTGACACAGGCAATTGCGGCACTTTCCGTCAACTGCCTGCTTCCTCCATGACCGGCAAGTGCTTTTCGTAGACTGTCCAAAAACAACTTCTATAGAATTCAAATATAGAAAGAAGTTTCTAGTTAATTAATGCGCAGTTTCTAACATTTCAGATTTGTCTAATTATCAGCCCCTAAAAATTATATTCTAAAACTACATAATTGGTATTTCCAATTTTTAATTTCACAATTTAAGTAGTTGTCATCATTTACATGTTTCTCAAATCTAAAAAAAAATAGAATCTGTTCTTCACTTTCTTTGTTGAATTATTAAAGGAACACAGTCCTTCCTAAACAAGGTAGTTGACTTCTCAACCCTGAATTCAGCTGATTATATTCTCTTTTTAAATATTTCTAAACTCCAGGCTATATTCAACCTTTAGCCTTCCAACTAAGGATATACCTAAGGCTGTTCTATTGCTCTAAATAAAATCTGTTCTGGGGCGCCTGGGTGGCTCAGTCGGTTGAGCATCTGCCTTTAGCTCAGGTCGTGACCTTGGAGTCCTGGGATCGAGCCCCACTTCGGGATCCCTGCTTGGTGGAGAACCTGCTGTTCCCCCTGCTTGTGCTCTCTCTCTCTTGCTCTAGCTCAAATAAATAAATGAAATCTATAAAAAATAAATTCTGTTGCTCACAAAAAGTTATCCATTCTTGTGATCTCAAGCCCTCTTTGCAGCTCACTAACAAATTGCTCCCTCTGTTTTTCTCCTAAATGAAAATTTTGCATCTCCACTTATATGTATTCTCAAATATAATGTGTCAAAAGCTAAACTGATCAAACAACAGCAGAATATATATTCTTCTCCAGTACACATGAACAATATATAGGATAGACCATGTGTTAGGCTACAAAACAAGTCTTAATAAATTTAAAGAGACTGAAATCATATGAAATATTTTTCCTGGGGCACCTGGGTGGCTCAATCAGTTAAGAGTTGGCCTTCAGCTCAGGTCATGATCCCAGGGTCATGGGATCGAGCCCAACATCTGCCTCCCTGCTCAGTAGGGAGCCTGTTTCTCCCTCTCCCTCTGTAGCTCCCCCTGCTTGTGCTCTCTCTGTCAAATAAATAAATCTTAAAAAAAAAAAAAAAAGAAAGAAATATTTTTCCTGATCACAATGAAACCGGAAATCAGCAATAGAAGGAAAACTGGAAAGTTCACAAACACATGAAAATTAAACACCAATGATCAAAGAAAAAAAATTCACAAAGAAAGTTAGAAAATATCTTGAAAGAAATCAAAGCGAAAACACAACACCAAAAATGGGATGCAGTGGAAGCAGTGCTAACAGGAAAATTTATAGCTGGAAACACATTAAAAAGAAAGCTCTCAATTCAATAACCTAACTGTATACCTTAAGGAACTAGAAAAAGAAGAGCAAACTAAATCCAAAGCTAGCAGAAGGAAGGAAATAATAAAGATGAGATCAAAGACAGAGAATAGAAAAACAATAGGAAAATATCAAAATCAAAAGGTGGTTCTTTGAATGGGTCAAGAAATTTGAGAGACCTTTTGCTAGATTAAGAAAAAAAGACAGAAGATCCACAATACCAAAAATCGGAGCTGAAAGTGAGAACATTACTATTTTTAAAGAAATAAAAGATTATAAAATACTATGAAAAACTATATGCCAACAATTGGATAATTTAGACAAAATGGGCCAATTCCTAGAAACATACAATCTACCAAAACTGATTCATTAAGAAACAGGAAAATCTGAATTGACCTAGAACTAGTAAGGAGATTAAATCAGTAATCAAAAACCTCCCAACAAAGAAAAACCCAGGACAGGTGGTTTCACTGGTGAATTCTATCATACATTGAAAGAACAATTAATACCAATCCTTCTCAAACACTTCCAAAAATTTAAGGAGAGGGAACACCTCCTAACTCATCTCATGAGGCCAGCATTACCTTAATACTACAGCCAAACAAAAACACGACAAGGAAACTACAGACCAATATCCCTAAAAATATTGATGAAAAAATCCTCAAGAAAAATGAGCAAACCAAATTCAGCAGTATATAAAAGGATTATACACCATGACCAAGTGAGCTGTATTTGTAGAGCGTAAAAAAGGTTCAACAACAAAAATCAATCAATAAAATATACCATGTTAGTAGAATGAAGGAAAAAAACTCACATGATCCTTACAATTGATACAGAAAAAACATTTGACAAAATTCAACACCCTCTCATGATAACAGCACTGGATAAGCTAGGAATAGAAGAAAATTTCCTCAACATGATAACAGCCATATATAAAAAACCACAGCTAACATCACACTCACAACAGTGAAAGACTGAAAGTTTTTCTCCTAGTAGGAACAAGATACGGATACCTAGTTTTGCCACTTCTTTTCAACATTACTAGGGAAGTTCTAGGCAGAACATTTAGGAAAAGAAAAACAAAATAAAAAACATTAAAAGTCATTCAAATTGAGGGGGTGGAGCAAGATGGCGGAGGAGCAGAAGACCTGGATTTCGTCTGGTCTCAGGAATTCAGCTGGATGGGAATCAAACCATTCTGAACACCTACAAACTCAACAGGAGATGGAAGAAAAGAATAGCAGCAACTCTCTGAACAGAAACGAGACCACTTTCTGGAAGGTAGGACGTGCGGAGAAGTGAATCCAAGGCGATATTCAAGAAGACAGACGGCGGGGGAGGGAGCCTCCATCAGTTGCTTCTGGCAAGTGATAGAGCCACGGAGCACAAAATCGGAACTTTTAAAAGTCTGCTCCACTGAGGGACATAGCTCCAGTGGCTAAGCGGGGGGTGTAACCCTCGCTGGGACAGTGTGGTCTCAGGACCCTCGGGGTCACAGAAAGACCCAGGGTGCCTGAGTGCGGCAGAACTCCCAGGTATGGGAGCGGGGAAGCTGGCTGCAGAGACAGAGCCAAGGCGCAGGCTCTCAGCTCGGGGTTGCCATAAACTGTGATCCGTGGCACAGTCAGGCCACTGTTCTTCCAGCAGGGACCCAACAAGTGGCAGATCCAGGGAGACTCCCCTTCCTCCCCCGGGAGGAGCAG